CCGTAGTGATACTGCCTCGGAAACCCAAGGAGGGGTCGCTATGAGTCGGGGCTGACTCGACGGCACATAACAACAACAACAACAAGAACCACTCCCAGTACCAAATGTGTTAGCCTGGGTTCTCTATAATGACGAATCCAAGATCTCCAGGCCGAATGGTGGATTGTTCGCTCATGGACAGTTGTAGGCAGCACAATAGAATCCCAATCCCAATCCACAAAAGAATGTCTCTTTTCCCTAGACGTCCATAATATACTGGAAGCATGCCACACCCCTAGGGAAACTCCCTTTCAGTGGATTGGCTGCTCAAAACATTTTCATCTGATCTCATCATGTGAATAACCACATTACAACTGTTTAAACCCCACAGAACTGTGGTCCAGCCAAGTTGACATACAGCTCCAATTCTATTTCATTTTTGACAACTTCCAATTTTCTTAGATTCATACTTCATATGTTCCATGTCCTGATTATTAATGGATGTTTGCAGCTTTTTCTTCCCATTTTGAGTCATGCCCCATCAGCAAATGGAGGCCCCAAAAGCTTTACTCCATCCACATCATCAAGGATGACTCTACTTTGAGGAGGCAGCTCTTCCCTATTCACATCCTGAGTGCCTTCTGACCTGAGGGGCTCATCTTCCAGCACTATATTGGACAATGTTTCAGGGCTATTCATAAAGTTTTCCAGTAATATATCAGACAGTGTTTCACCGCTATTCATGAGGTTTTCACTGGCCAATTATTTGAGAAGTGTATGGCACCTTCCTTCTTCCCAGTCTTAGTCTGGAAGTACTGCTAAAATCTGTCCACCATGGGTGATCCTGCTGGTATTTGAAGTACTGGTGGCATAGACTCCAGCCTCAGCAACACACAAGCCACCACAGTAAGACAAGCTGACAGACGAATGGAGGATTGCCCTGGCTAGGACTTTTAATACAATGTTGAACAGGAGTGGTGATAAAGGGCATCCTAGTCTGGTTTGCAAGGGAAATGTTTCCAGTCAGAATAACGTTGGCCACTGGTCTTGCATATATGCCCTTAATTAGGTTGAGATCTCCCTTAGGAATGTGTGCTGGATTTCATCAAATGCCTTTTCTTCATCGATTAATATGATCTTGTGGTTCTTTACCTTTGTTTTATTTATGTAGTGAATTACTTTGACTGTTTTTCTAATGTTGAACCATTCTTGGCTACCTAGCATGAATCCCACTTGGTCATGATGTATTATTTTGTTGATATCTTGTTGGAGTCTATTGGCTAGGATTCTGTTGAAGATTTTTGCATCTATATTCATGAGGGATATTGGTCTGTAGTTCTCCTTTTTAGTGGTGTCTTTGCCTGGTTTTGGTATCAGGGTTATGCTTGCTTCATAAAATATATTTGGAGGATTTCATCCTTTTCTATGTTCAGGAATAGTGTGAGTAGAATCAGTGTCAGCTCTTCTCTGAATGTTTGGTAGAATTTTTCAGTGAAGTTGCTTGATTGTATTGTTTAGTTCTTCTGTGTCTTAAGTTTCTCTCCAGTTGTTCTGTCTTTCATTGAAAGTGGTGTACTAAAATATCCTACTCTTATTGTGGAGTCATCCACTTTTCAATTCTGTTCAAGTTTAATTTATGTATTTTGGGGCCTTTCATTAGGTGTGCAGATACTACAGTTATGTACTCTTATAAAATTGATCCTTTAATCATCATATAATGTCCTTCCTTGTCTCTTATGATAGTCTCTGCCTTAAAGTCTATCTTATCAGAAATTAATATTGCCATTCTTAATTGCCATTCGCTTGACATCTCTTTTCCCAACCTTTGATTTTTAGTCTATTTTTGTCTTTGCCTCTAAGGTGAGTCTCTTGTAGACAGAATATTGGTGGATCATGTTTTCTTATCCACTCTGCAACTCTGTCTCTTCGAGTGGTGCATTTAATCCATTTACACTGTAATTATAGACAAGTATAAAATTATTGCTGTCATCTTGTTATGTGTTTTTTCATGGTGTTGCTGATTTATTTGTTCCACATAATTTTCTGTGCTGAGTTCATTTTATGAATCTTGTTATCATTTCTTTTGTTGCTATTGTTTTAGTATTTGCTAAATATTCGTGTCTCTCCTTTTTTATTTTGATGCAAAGGTTTATTATCTTTCTTGGTAGTTACCCTGTGATTTATAATAATTTTCTTCCGAAGTTTAGAACAGTCTGTTCCATCTTGTAGTTTTCCTGATTTCTTCTCCACTTGGAATTTCTGCACCTACACTATTTATTCCCTCTTTTTGGTTTGTAGCTGTCCTCATTTACCAACTGAAGCCTCTGGTTCCCTATTTACAGTCTTGTTATCTTATTTTACTTTGGATACTTCCATAACTGTGTTGATTTCTGGGTTATGTAAGGCTGGTCTGGTTTTAACAAATCCCCTTAATTTCTGTTTTTCTACAAACATCCTAACTTCACCATCATATCCGAGGGACAATTTTGCTGGGGATATAATTCTTGGTTGGCAATTTTTTTCCTCTCAGGGTTTTATATTATCATCCCATTGCCTTCTTACCTGTATGGTTGCTGCCAAGAAATAAGCACTTAGTCATTTTGGCTGCCCTATGTAGGGAGCTTTTTGTTTTTCTCATGCTGCTTTCTATGAACATACCTGTGGTGAAGCAGAATACAAATAGCATTCATCAATAAAGTTCCATCAGTTATACTCAGAAGAACACAATCTTATAAAGGCTGACAGCTGAATTAAGATAAACAAAGCTACAACATTTATTTATACTTGGTGGTGATAGCAACAAGAGACTTTAAAGTGAACAGACTTCTGGGGTCCTTAATACAAAAGGGAGGAAAGGCCCTGCTTTCTACAAAAATTATGTGAAATTTCAAAAAATATTATTAAATGTGGTATAGTTTTTTTTTTTTTTAAAAAGCAAAATTCCAAAGAGAAACACTTGTATTTGCACTGTATTTCTTCAAGTCAAATCATGATAATTATACCATTAAAACTGACATAATTATTTTCTGTTTTGGGTCCCAGATGGAATTTTTGAAAATATCTATTAAGAAAATAATTTTGAAAGTACTCCCTCTTAAGTTCTTTGGTATAATTTGGTCATTTTCATAATAATCCATTCATTCATTAAATAAGTACTTTTACATACATGTACCTATCAAAGAAAATACAATGAGTACAAATGTTTACAAAATCCCGTTTGAAGAATAAATTAAGATATATTTTTTGACCTCACAGAAAACAGAACTCTAAGATTTTACTAGTGTTTCTGTGACAAATATATTCCCACTACAAGAACATGTCCAACCAGATTTGTATTAAAGAAATATTACATAAAACATTCTTTTCTGTTGTAAGGATAACTGTTCTAAATAATTTTTATTTTTAAGTAGAAGAGACAAGTTTCAGGCTTGTAAAAACAATGATGGATGAAGCAATTATGAATTTCAATCAAGTTCTACTCTTGTCTGCCTTCTGATTCGGTGAGTGTGGAAACCTAGAATTTAATGTCAGTTGGCAGAATGTGAAGGATTATTTGTCTATTGTGTGAAACAGCTAATTTTCTTCTTGAAGCATTTTCTCTATTTCCTTATCCCAGTTTTCATCTCGTTTCCCTGATTCTGTCACCACTTCATACTCCTGAAGTTCCTGTTGTAGCTCTTTTTCCCAATCTGCAGAATCATCTAAAAGAAACAAATGAGAAGAAAAACATTCGGTCTGAACTGAGGATGGTGGTTTGAACACTTCAGTTAACTTTAATTACATATGTCAGTCACGCCACAATGTTTAACATATTACATCTCATCATTTATATATGCTCAGAAAATTGGAACCAACTGTTACAATCAACAAAATCTGTTGTTAGTGGTGGTGAGTCATGGTCTTTCTTACTCTCACCAGATGACTGGCTGGGACTGTGCAAATGTCATGTGCTTATGGCCCTCCAAGGGGACTGGACAGCTTGCTAATAATGTAAATAAGGTGCATGGTACCACTATGGGGGTGGGACCAAGCAAATAAGGTGTACTGAACCCTAACGTGGAGATTGGTCAGTTTTGCCATCCAGCTAGACTTAAAATAAGCTATCCCAGAAGTGAAAAGGGTAGATCTCATTACCATCAAGAAAGAAGAGCCAGGAGTGCAGTGTGTCTGTTGGCACGAGAATCCTACACTGAACCTGCTCAATCCAAGATACAGAATTGTGACATTAGAGATGGTCAGAAGCAATGGCAGAGAAACAGTGGCAATAGGGGCAGCAAACCAAGAGACTGGCAGGAGAAGGAGGGGTGCACTTCCCCATCCACAGACCAAGAAAGTTGAATGCCTTTTGGAGGCTTGCTAGAGGAGTGGGGTGCCTCTGACAGAGCGAAAAGATCTCTGTAGTACCTATCCAAGCAGGGCAGAGGCCAGGCTGAGGGGCCATGACTGAGGGAAGAGTGTCCTAATCAAAGAACAATATCCTGACTATTCCTGATCCTGAAGTGGAACATGTTACATCCTAATAAATGCCATAATCGTGAGTATTGTCTGTGAGTTCCATGTGACCACTACAATGAACTATTGAACCCAGTAAACAAGGAGAGAACAGCATCTCCTTGGGGATGGTGCACACGTATCTCCCTTGCCCCTGGCCACATGTTCTCGAGGCTGAGCTGCCTTGGACACACCACTTCACCTCCTGGGTCTCAGTTTCTCCTGGGACAGTGGGAGTGAGATTCCCAGAGGAGTCCTAAGTCCCACTGGATTCCAGCCACATTGACTAGAATCCATTTTCTCATGAGGAATAGATTACCAGTTTCGAGACAAAATTTACAATTTTTAAAAAAACTATTGTTTTATTGTGCTAAAAATATATTTAACGAGGCATTTCCTGATCGAACATTTCTTACACGTACAAATGAGTAACAGTGATGTACAAATGAGTAACAGTGATTACATTAATCATGTTGTGCAATTATCGACCCCTATCCATTTCCCAATTATTCCAATACCATTAAAAGAAACTAAGTGTGTCCCCCCCCCTCCCGTAAGATTCATTTATGAATGTCTGCTTCAAAGTAACAATTATCTACAGGAAATTTAGAATTTTGGGACAAGAACAGTGTTTCTGGTTTGGTGTGTTTTTTTACCTTCCAGCACAGTTGTTTCCTCTTCCTTTTTGTCAAGCACAAGTTGCTCCATTTCTTTCCTCAGATCCTCCTGATCAAAGTTACAGGCATCGAAGGCATCACTGACAAACTCAGAAACACCTGGGCTAGTCGAAATCTCTTCCTCGTCCTGAAAGTCAACAAAGGAGCTGTGGAAGTAGTTGTCTGAGTGACACTGATGTGCTAGAGTTCTTGTTCTAGTCCTCTCACAATTTAATGCCATGCCACTAAATTCCTCTGCTGGTTGTCAGACAGAACTATCTTGCCTTCTATTCACACAGTCACTTGGTAACTGAGTGAGTGAATTACCACCTGAGTCTATGACTCTCACTCACAGTTTGGATCACTGGCCTCCTTCTGTCTGATCCCCATGAGCATGTCTAGAATCATTTCTACCAGTGAAGGTCTCATGTCTCAGCTATACATCCTTGACTAGTCAACCCCAGATGCCTCTTGTTCACAATAAGTAAGACCCATACTCTGGCATTGTTTTAAATGGCATCTGAGTCAGTTGACACACATTCACTTCATTTCCAGACACCAACCCACTAGGTACAATGTAAAACTGTATTTACCTCTTGAGTTTTAAGCTGAGATTTGATTACGACAGGTGGCGTTTTGGGCCGTACTGCCTCTAAGAAGTGAGAATAAAAGAGACAATAACTGCTTGATTCAATTCTGAATACATATGATTATAACAGCTAAAATATCCACAAGTATGATGATAATAAATAATTTTCCAATGTAAGGGTTTCTGTTACCCTGTCAGCTTTTCTCAAGGTCTTAAAAGGACCCACCATGTGAAAGCATCTCAACATCTCTTACTCTTGGGGATCCTGTTTAATGTGTCATCACATTCACTGCCCTTTACATAAGATTCCAAGCAGGAAATATTTTTAACTTTAGTGTTAAGAAAAATCACTGTAGAAGAGTTCTATAGGATAATGAGAATTATATTATCTATCACGTTTCCCTTTTGTCATGAAACTAGAAAGCACAAAGTCAAATTTAATGCTGGGCCCCAGCCCCCTGCATGGTTAGCATCCCTGTCCTCCTCACGGGCCCCATTTTCTATTTTAGCAACCATACTAGATATATGGTCTTTACGGAATACTGTCTTAAACCCATTTTCTTATACAGATATGATTTGCTATAGTGGCATTTTCTGGTAAGATTAATAAAAAGCAACACTAAAGAATGATAAATGGGGATTCATGTTAACATCTGTGCACAAAATGGCACATTTCAATGTGGAGAGCAACTTCATTACATTTCTCTGGCCCCCCAAGCAGTGTCAGATCACTTCCTCATACAGACCATGCAGCCTGGGCCTTAGAACACACTGCATTGGTGAATCCTTTAAGACTCCATAACCTACCTTCCCCACTTCTCCTGGGGCCAGTTTCCAGTCCTAATTAGGACCTGTACACAGCAAGTGCTCATTAAACAGTAACATGTCATAAAGATATGTCTTATTTCAGTAATTCTTACAGATATTAAATCATTGCTAATGTTATAAATCCCCTGTCCCCAAATCCTGGGGTGAACTGTCACAATGAAGGGAGCCAAGGTCCCAGGCACTAGTGCCTGGCTCAGACCTGGGTGCTCGTAGCTTGGACTGGACCAGAGCTCAGTTCCTCTCTGCTGACTGTGCTCATTCCAGAAACACCAGGCCTAATGCCAGATGGAGAAAGAACACAGAGCAGACCGTGGGAACCACAGTGGGGCAGAGCAGACCTGAAAAGTCACGGGTGGTAAAAGGCAAGGAAAGAGATGGGGAGAAGATGGCTGGTGATCAGGGTGAGATAAGAACACCAGAAACAGAGAGCAGGGAATGAGCACAGGGCAAAGCAAAGGAAGCCTGGGAAGACACGTGTGGGCTGAGCCAGAGAGAGGGCAGCAGAAACGGGTATTTTCTTTGGAAGGGAAGGAATTTTCCCCAAGACCATTTCTGGGATGTACAATATGACAAGCTCCTAAGAGCCTCTAAGCGATGGTAACAAATTTTAAAGTAGTTCTTTGCACAAAGTCAAGTATTCTTTTCTGAGTGTACCTGTCAGAGGCAAATCGCCTTCTCTGCCACTGCTCCTCTCCTCTTTTCCTGCGGCCTGCTGCTGGGCTGCCAGGGCCGTCAGCTGGGCTGACTGCTTGATCAAGGAGACACGGTAAAAATAGTTCCTCCAGAACACTTCTTCCTTCACACTTTGAGAGACAACAAGCCATTTGAGAACACATGCAAGCCAATCCTTACAAGGGGTGCTGGCACTGAGGAGCATTTTAAAATGCAAGTGATGTTCACATGACATTCTCACTGGCTCTGCAATTGAAAAGCGGAATCAGAGGATAAAGAGATCTTGTCCAGAGCAGCAAAAGCCAGCTCACAGGAAACCAATGACACCTCAGCATGTCTTGGTATTTTAATAACCACCCTCTGCCCCACACAGAGGACAATGGGGCTGCTGGGAAAGCCCCATTATCAACGTGGGAGATGGGACATGGAGCCAGGCCTGCATCAATTAAGCACTGTTTAGTGCATTACGTGCTTTCAGGCTGTGAGAAGAAAGGATTCTGGGTGTTGTTCCTTGGAAAAGGAAATGGTTGGCAGTTTCCTAACAACCAAACTCAGTAAGATTAACAAGGACATGGGAGATGGTTGGTAAGATTTAGGTGGGGTTCCTTCTTTTGTACCCTGCTTCTCACAGTTGGCTGTATATTAGACAATCACTTTGTGTGGGCTATCAACGTGTCTTAAGTAGGAAATGGTAATTATCTCCATAGGGGAATGGCCTGGAATGGGAATCAGAAGCTGAGCAGGGAGCGAAGAGTGTCTGAGCAAGGGAGGAGGTGGAGGAGTAAATGGGACAATGGTTGCTTCCAGGGGGGCTGATCAAGTAAACACATTCAGGTTTCTCACTGTTGGAGAAAGGAGTTTCAGACCTGAAAAGGAAAACTCTACAATGGTCTCTCTGTCATGAGGTATCACTGTGAACACATAGTGTTCAACATAGATCCAACTGAGTGTACATGTGTACACTCAATTGAATAGTACATATTCCCCAGCTCTGTGAGAGGGCCAAGGAGTAGTGATAGATACCTCTATAGTCTTGAGCACACCTAGTGCCCAGATCTTGGCTTCTAAATACCATTTTTCACTAAATGGAACCAGAGCTTTTTGGATCTGTGGCTGATTCCATGGTTGGAGTATGAAAAGTACATGATCATAGAGAGTATTTTTGCCAGAATGTATGGAATTCCTCAAAGAATGAGACATGTCAACAGGACACAGAAGCCATCCTGAATGGGTTCCTACTGGCCAAATATTACTAAGCATGAAAATAATGGTGATAGCCATGGCCTATAACCTACAGCATGAAACAGGCTCATGAGTCCATATAAATATGTCAATACATTGAAAGTTTGATGATGAATGGAATATTTATGGAGTTTCAATGTATCTCCCCACAAAGTACTTATTAATTTCAAACAGGAAAATAATAACTTTACAGTCAAGAAGCCTGGAAGACACCACTTTAATCAAGTAATCAAAGGGAACAATAATGGGACAAATGATAGCATGTGCCGTCTGACACGATGCAACACAGAAAGGAGACTGAAGAGATAAGAAAATCAGTACAACTAGTGAGTCTGAACTGGGTCCTTTTGCTAAAAAAGGATATCATTGGATAAATGAGAACTCAAACAGACTCTGAGGATTAGATGACAACGTATAACAAGGAGCCCTGGTGGTGCAATGGTGAAGCACTCAGCTACTAACTGAAATGATGGCAGTGCGAGCCAACCCAGCAGCTCCGCCGAAGAGAGACCTGGCAACCTCCTTCTGTAAAGGCTGCAGTGTAGTGTATGTGGCAGATCAACTGTCCCAGGGGGTCCTTCCGAGTTGGAATCAGCTCAACGGCACGTAACAACAACAATGGAGAGAGGATTATTTTGTTATTTATGTGGTAATATTGTGGTTATTTAACAAAATTCCTTGCTTACAGGAAATATACACTAGAGCATTTTGAGGTGATGCAGCATCTGGTCAGTAATTTACTCTCAAATGATTCAGGAATAAAGTTCTTCATACTATTTCTAACTTGTCGGTCAGATTGATTGTTTCTATGAATAAACACAGATGACTGTCCTCACCTTGGTGCAATTAAATAAAAATCTCAAAGGTGTTAGACAAAATGAGACTAAAGAGAAACACAAAGCCTACACAGGGAAATCTGCACACCCTCACAAACCAAGGGCCACCCAAAGCACAGTCTAGTGCCCTGCAGTGGACAAGCAGTGCTGTTTTGTTCTTTTCTGGAGGAGTCAAGAAGTTCATGTTCTCAAAATGTTTTGCTAGTGGGAATGATGAAAGGGGGGAAGAATGCCTCTTTGCCCCTTGGTTTACTGGAGAGGACGCAGGGTTCTTAGGATACACGGCCATACAGGATGAAGGCGTAACAGAAAAGACTTTGAAGGAGTAGATGAAATCAGTGAAAATGAACAGAATATACCGATGTGGGCTCCTGAGTCAGGACAGGCTATCCTTCGACAAAGACGTGAGAACACATGATGGTCACACCTGCAAATTGTGAAGCTGGGCAAGGAAGGTGGCTTTTGAAGTGACAGAGGCAAAATGCAAGGTCATCTACATATGCAAGGCCAGGTAACAAGGTGCAGCCTGTCTCCCTCGTTCATTATTCCACACACATTTACTTAGTGTCACACACAAGAGGACCATGGTAGGTGCTGGGGGTGTTCAGGGATGAGGAAGGCAAGTTGTCTACCATCTCCGACGGTCCCAGGAATCACAGCCTCTGGCTTTTTCAGTTCTTACTGTGTGTGAAGCAGCCATCTCCCAAACTTCTGTGCCTGTAGAACTCTCTTTCTCACACCATCTCTTGGAAGTAGTTCTGCAGGAAGGAGACCTGGCTTAACAGTAGTTCCTAAGGGGGGATAGCTGAGTGTAAGTTTTATTTCTGTAATTGTGATTTGGGTGAATGAGCATAAGTCTGAGCTGAGCAAACAAAAGTCTGCTATAGCTGCTAAGAGAGTGAAGGACAGCTTATTATACTACCGAGTGCACAAGATGATGTGCAATTTGGTGACTGGACAACATATATTCATTTCTGGGAACTCATTTAACAACAACACTGACAAAATCAAGGATGTTCTGAGGTTAATCACTTAGATGGTGACGTGGTCCAGCAACAAGGACACTTGGGGACCAGATGAAGGAACTGGAGCTGTTTTTGCCCTGATAAGTTCAAGGGTCTTAACCCCTTCCCACCTCAAAGCTCATAAAGACTAGAAACAGCTTTATCCTTCATTGCTCCAGAAGACAGAAAAAAGACAGTATAAGGCAAAAGGTTTCTGTGCAGGATAAGAAATGTTAGTAACAAGCAAGGTAAAATGATAAAAGTGAAACTGCCTTCCCAGGAGGGAACTGCCTGCCCTTCTTCAAGACCCCTTCTAATTCAGAGCTCTTAAGAGAGTGGGCAATGCTTGCTCTCTTGACTGATAAACATTGAAATGATGTTTGCTTTTCCCAAGTCCTTGCTCTCAAGGTAAAAAGAGGCCACAGGGGGCACATGTCGAGGTTGCAGAAATGTTCTGTGCTTCCCCCGGGAGAGTCACAATACAGCCGATACGGTAAAGCTTCTGAAGTCATATGATAAAGAAGGCTGTTTGATGCAGCCACTCCCAAACGCTGACTGGGGACTCTATATGGCATTAGGATCCTGGGGCCACCCTCTGAGAAACATTGGGCCAATGCTGCAGCCTGCGGTTGGGAAGGCCTTGCCGCTTTCTGTGCTGTCTTCAGAGGGAGGGCCTTTGGAGGGCCCCGGCTCAGGCATGGTGTTCAGTGCCAATACTCGTGTCACGGGGACATACCAGTGGAACACTGTGGCACTTTCCAAGACAGAGAAAGTACTTTTTGCTTCATTTCCTTTTCTAAATTGTTCCTAGTTAATGACGGCTTCTGTTCAGGAAAAGACTCTCAAACTCTCAAAGCTGAACGTCTGTGGGTCAGGGTCTGCCCAGAGGGAAGTCCAGAAGTCCTGTATTTGTGTGTGAGGACTCATTTTTGTTTTGTTTTACTATGGAAATCTTCAACGAGACAAGAGGGGAAGAGTTGAATGATGAACCCCCCTGTATTCACAACCTCACTAGGACAATTCTCAGCATCTGCCAACCTTGTTCCACCTATTCTCCCCACCCCCGCACACACAGCTTCCTTTGGGTGGGGGTTGCAATAGTTTAAGGCCAATGCCACCCATCACAGCCTTTCATTCGTCAATACTTCAGTAAGCACTTCTAACAAATAAAGGCTTAGAAGAATTAATAACCATAATTTCTCAACAGTCCCCGACTTAGAACAAATTTGAGTTACGTTACATCTTATCAAATGTACTACATACCATGCTGCAGCAGGTAATTTGCTGATGTTATCATTCTCATACCTACCCCCCAAAGACAAATAAAGACTGGATTTACAAAGATATTGGCAATATCACTTTTCAGCCAAACAACAGACAGAAGTGTTGCCCTATGAGGAACATGCTCCTTAGAACAATCAACCATAGGAGACCCAAAGGGCAGCATGTGCCCTAAAACAATGTTAAGAAGACAGGAAGGGGCAGGAAAGATGGGTGGATGGAAACAGGGAACCCAGGGAGGAAGCGGGAAGAGAGCTGTTACACTGAGGGGATTGCAACCAATGTCATGAAAACAAAAAAAAGTGCATATAAGTTGTGGAATGGGAAACTATTTTGCTCTGTAAACTTTCACCCAAATCACAAAATGTTAAAAAAAAAAAAGTATATTGACAATAAAAGGCAACAACAATGAAAACAAAAGATATGTGACTTACATCACAACTGACTTACAAAGGAGTTAGAATGGAACCCAGCTGTAAGTCGGGGACTACCTGCACCTAACAGGCAGGTCACCTGGCCTCTGACAAATCAGAAGCACCATTTGCCAAATGCAGACTCTGCAAAGCTTTCAAAAATCTAAAATTTGTGTCAGCTGAAAGAAGTTCAGAATTGCCAACCACTAAAACTATGGATGGCTACAGGCCTGACTCCAGCCCTGACAGGTCCCAGGCACTCAAGGGCACTGGCAGAAGGGCCTGGCTGTGTGTGCGGCCCCAGGGCAGTTAGAAAGGTCTTAAGTGGGTGGAGCCATCAGATGTGCAGTCTCCTCCTCCCTCAGAAAAAGCCAGTTCTTCAGAACCGATGTGACCTCAAATTCTGAGAGGAAAGCACTTTTTTTTTTAATGACACTTCTTGCAAACGTCAACTCCCAGTGTGTTAGCACAAGTAATAATAGTAAAAAATAGATCAGATGGTACCAACAGGGCATGGCGTCATCGTAATCTGACCTCTTCTAACTTCACAAGGGGGGAGAAGATCAACATCCACATCAACAGTCCAAAATTCTGACACCAACCCACTATCCCATGGCATTCTCTTCTTCTCTTCTGGGTTCAGTAATCTGTTGTAATGGTCACACAGAACTCACAGATAATACCGACAATTATGGGATTTATTAGGGAAGTAACAAGTTACAACTCAGGATCAGAAACAACTCAGGATACACTCTTCAATCAGGACAGCTGCTTCTCACCCACGCAGCAGACATGCTTCTCTCGCCTCAGCCTCAGCCTCTGCCTTGCTCGGACCAGTATTATAAAGCTCTTTTAATTCTGCTGACAGGTGCCCAGATAGGCACCCTATACCACCAGCAAGCCTCCTGCCCAAAGGCATTCAACTTTTTTGGCTGTGGGCTGGAAAGCCTGCTGCTCTGTCTCACGCTGGTCTCTTGCTTCTGCTGCCTCCATTTCTCTGCCATTGCTTCTTGTCATCTCTGGTGGCAGAGCTCTCAGTCCTGGATCAAGGAAGTTCAGCTCAGGGATCTCGGGTCCAAAGGACATGCTCCACACTAAGCAATTCACTGCACTGCAGCTGGTCATTTCTTTGAATTGTTAACTAAAACCCACTATTTTAGACACAATCTAATGATTAAATTTAGAATAAGATTTTAGCCATAACACACATACTTGAGGGATACAGAAATTCATCACCAACTTATTAAAAATTATGGAGAGAAGGGCTGCACTGAAAAGAAAAGAGAAATAATTACACATAGTTGTTGTCGCAATACATCTCAAGTGTTCTTCCATCACAGAGAGAAGAACTGGGGTGCTGTGGGACCCAAAAGGCTAGCAGGTCTTCATTCCCGCCCCTATCTGGTCAGCTGAACATGGCAATGGGAACACAGGTGTTTAATCGTGTTCCCCGAGTCATCCACTAAAATCATAGAAAAGGAATTCACAAGAAAACTTCACAAGGCCAAGGAGAAGGGAAAGGAAATGAGAGTGGAAGGGGAAAGCTGAGGGCAACCAATGAGATACAAGTCCACGAGTCAGGCAGGGCCTCACAGACCCTTGGACAAGCAGGACCAGGCCCCTCCAAAGGCTGGGGCAGGCTGGGCTCAAAACCGGAGCAGCAGCACGGCTACACAGGAGTGGTAAGCACCCTCTGGATTCCCACCCGGCCCCTGCACAGCCAGTGACTGCACCCCAGCCATGCCCCACGTCCCTCCCCTCAGCAGACGTGGGGAGATGTAAGGAGGGTGAAACGGAGAAGCTCTGAACTCAGGAACAGCTGGTTCAGCTGAGAATGGGGATGAGGCACAGTCCTGATGCCACAAGGATCAGGGGACAGTCTGCAGAGTGACTGGTAACAGGCCAGGTTCTCCCCTTGTTCATCTCCCAGAATGCCTATGGCCAGGCAGGAGGCTGAGCAGTCCTTGCCAGGGAAGCCCGTAGGTACTGAGTCTCTCAGCTCAAGATCAGTTGCTGTGGAGTCAACTGGAAGTCATGACGACCCATGTGTGTTAGAGCAGAACTGGGCTTCACAGGGTTTTCAACGGTTGGATTTTTGGAAGCACATCACCAGGGCTTTCTTCTGAGGCACCTCTCGGTGCATGTGAACCTCCCACCTTTCTGTCAGCAGCTGAGCACTTAACCACTTGCACCAACAGGGACTCTTCTAGTCGAAAAAGCCTGTCTGTATACAGTTACCAACCTACCAACCACTCTTCCTATATATCACCTTCAACTGCAAAGGACGAGGGAAGAAAGCCTGCGACACAGAAGAGCCCAAAACAAACACAAAAATCCAGAGAAAACCATATAGGAAAGGCATAGCTCAAGAAAACGATAATTCATGTCCTCAGAGAACAGTGAGATACTGCTGCATCCATCTTTTAAGAATCGCTATAATTAGTTGCTGTTCAGTTGATTCTGACTGACAGAGACCCCATGTGTTCAGAGAACAGCTCCAAAGGATTTCCAGGGCTGTGACCTTTTGGAAGCAGACAGCCAGGCCTGTCTTCCAAGGCACTTCTGGATGGGCTCAAATTGCCAAGCTCTTGGTCAGCAGTTGAGTGCTTAACCATTTGTGCCACCCCGGGCCTCCATATAGAAGAACAGAATGCTGTGACAAAGGGACATCTGCAGTGTAAGAACGAACTGTGACTACAGAAACAAGATAAATCCAACACAAGGGACTGGACTACAGGGGAGTGTAAGAAAATCACTGTGGTCACAGAGAGGAAGGGTGCCCTCTGCTGGAGGGGCATGTCAGGGCTGCTCCCCAGAAAAGATTCTGTGTGTGCTGGAGCTCATAGGACAAGCAGAGGTCTTCTGAGGACAGAAGGGCTTCAGGCAGTTATAAACCCATGGGACAGGCAGCACGCAGACACTGCTGCTGTGTGCCTATCCCGAGTGGAAAACAGGCTACTGCCTGGTTCTCACAGACCTTGCAGACCTGAATTTTATTTGCTAAGAGATGGGGTACACGTGTGCTTTCTGTAACAACACGTGTTCTCCCTTCTAACTGGGGATAAAACAGCACGTCTCACCTCCAACCCCAAATGTCCCAGAAGCCTGCTCTCGGTTTAGTTTCTGCGGGGCCCCGCCGGGGAGCTGCTTAGCATGGCAGAGCCCCTGTTGTGCAGAAGAGTCAGAGGCCATCCAGGCCTCATGTGCTGACACTTGTGTGACACTGCACAGCAACAAGGCCATCAGATAATGCACACGTCCACTCAAGGACGGAGGTGCTGAAGCTTACAGTTTGGGAACCAGGGCGAATCTCATCCTGCTCAGCAGCTCGTCTTCTTGGAGCATGACCAGGGCCACTGGGTACATCTGATCAAAGTCAAAAGTGAACTGCACACCAGCTGGGGGGTCCCGCAGGAAATTCCTCTTGTCCTTTGAAGAAAAGAAAAGATTGGGCGTAAAAACCACAGAGTGTGATTAAGATGTACCAATGTATCATTAATATGACATCCAGTTCTTGCTAAGACTTCAAAGTCCACTGAGCGATCAGTAACCTGCCCACCTAAGAGAGATCTGAGAAAATCAGAACTTCGTGTATTTCCTAACAACCTCAATTGGTAACAGCTTCTTGGAGGTCAGGAGATCAGACTGAGGGGACTGGTGGTGTGAGCTACCAAGGAGGCAGCCTCCGACTCACAGCAGCCCCCCTCCCCACAGAGTGAGTCCAGAGCCATCCCCAGGATCGGGTGTGGGGAACGATGAAGGTGGGGTGCAGAGGTGGTGAGGTTCCAAGGAAAAGGGGCAGCAAGCAGAAAGCCCATAAAAGAAGGACAAAGCCCAGCCTGGTTGTGTAATGGAAGGAAACTGCAGGATCAGGGAAATAGGGCATGAGGCAGACAGGGGGCAGAAGCAAGGGCTAGAGAAGCCAGGGCAGGGAGCTGAGGATCGAGTCTGGGAATGCTGAGTCATCATCAGAAGGTTCTGCGTAGGGGAGCTCTGGTGGCCCAGTGGTTAAAGCACTGGGCTGCTAATCAAAAGGTCAGCAGTTCTAACCCACCCAAGGCTCTGCAGGAGAAAAGATGTGGCAGTCTGCTTCCACAGATTAACAGCCTTGGAAACCCTATGGGGCAGTTCTACTCTGTCCTCTAGGGGTGCTGTGAGTTGGAATCGACTTAATGTCAGTGGGATTTTTATGTAGGGGTGTGACACAAAGTGATATACCTCATCCATGGGCCCCTCTGGCTGCTGAGAGGAGACTGTACTGGAAAGGGGCCAGAACGTGAAAGCAGTCAGGCAGTGAGGACCGGGACCACAGTGGGAGCAGAACTGGACTGGAGCCACAGTCCAAAAACAGAATTGACAAGATGTACCAAGGGGCTGGAAGTGGGGGTAGAGGTGCCACTCAAGGGAGACCCCTAGGTTTTGGGAGCCGTATTCTGAGACTGAGGAGATGGACAGGTCTGAGGGCAGAGGTCTGACAGGGACATGACTGATGTTTGCCCTCAACTGACAACAACTCTAAGGAGCTTTGGTGGCGTTGTGGGTAAGGCATTTGGCTGCTAACCAGAAGGTCAGCAGTTCAAACCCACCAGCTGTTCTGCAGGAGGAAGATGAGGCAATCTACTTCTGCAAAGATTTACGGCCTTGGAAACCCAATGGGGGTTGCTATGAGCTGGAACTGACTCGATGGCAGTGGACAATGACCCTCACTACCCAGATTCTCAGGATAAGTGAGCCCAGTGTTAAGTGTGGCCAGAAGAGGGAAAACAAATGCATGGTATTCACGCACAGGTGCAGAAATGAAGGATCAGTGCAATAAAGATTTTACTAAATGGAGAGAGAAAAAACCTTAAAATGCCCTGGGGGTGGCAATCAGAGGGTGGTAAAGTTCCAGTTTTACATTTGTTTCTTTTATATACTGAGGTTCTATTTATGATTTTACCAGGTTTAAAAAAAGAAACAAAGAATGAGTTAAAAACAAAAGCTTGAAAATGACTGACACAGTAAAAAGATATTGAAAATGACAGCTCAGTGGACAATCATCTGGAATTTGTCACTGTGTGCTGAGGATAGAGACAAAAGCCAGCTGTTGTCTTCTCAGAGTCCACAGTCAAGTGACAGATAAGAAGTTAATAGTCAAAATGCATTTGAGTCTCCACTCCTCACCTGTAAAGTGAGGCTAAAAGCCCACCCCTGCCCTGTAGACCTGCTGTGAGGCTCCAAGGAGACCACAGATGGCAAAGTGCTTTCTGAGACTGCCAAGAGCTACACAAGCATGAATGAGTAGTGGTGTCACATTTCCTCGGAGGTCTTGACATAAGCTTCTGTGGGTCAGCATATGGATTTTTTTTTTAATTGTGGTTTGGGTGAAAGTTTACAAAGCACATTAGTTTCCCACTCGATAATTTACGCACATTTTGTTTTGTGACATTAGTGGCAATGGCCTCAATGTAACAGCACTCTTCCCACTTCCTCCCCAGGTGCCCCGTTTCCATTCATCCCCCTTTCCTGCCCTTCCTGCCTTCTGAGCTTTGTTTTTGGGCAAATGCTGCCCTTTTGGTCCCATATGGTTGCTTGATATGAGAAGTACGTTCCTCCCTGGTGGTACTGTTCACTTTATAGGCTGGCCTATTGTTTGGTTGAAAGATGATCTCCTGGAGTGGGTTCAGTTCCAGGTTTGAAGAGTGACTAAGGGCTACAGTATCAGTGGTTCCACCAGCCTCTATCAGAGCAAGAGCAGTAAGTCTGGTTTTTTTTTTTTTTTTTTGATGATTTTGAATTTTGTTCTATATTTTTCTCCCACTCTGTCCAGGACCTTCTATGGTGATCCTGATCAGAGCAGTCAGTTGCGTGCAGTAGCTGGGTACCATCTGGCTTTTCTGGTCTCAGGCTAGTGGAAGCTGGAGTTTGCATAGTCAGCATATGGCATTTTATTTCAATAAATTTCAGTTTCAAAACAACATACACAGCAATTAAAGAGAGAAACCGAAATACGATCATTTCATCATTCATACACTGCTGATGAAAGAGAAATGATTATCTTAATAACATAAAAGAATCTTTTTAAGGCTAAGAGAATTATTTCATGTCATAGACTATACATTTACATCAAGAAAAAAGAACTTAAGGATGAGCAAATGAAAAGTTAGTAAACAAGAAGGTTAGTGAAAGTTATGTGTACATTACTAACATCTCAAAATATTAAAAAAAAAAAGTGGGTAGAAGAAAAAAATCCTGCTAACACAGATGCAGTGTGACGGGAAGAAAGTATGTTCCATACACATTATCAGAGCAAGAAACTTACAGCTGATAAGGCCAAGATTTGTTGTTGAATTGTTTCTTCATCATTACTGTCAACCCATGGAGGCACTGCTGCGTCTATAAGGTTTTTAATGGCAAGAGGAAAAGAGAAAAAGAGATTATTACAGTTATACTATAATCCATAGTTGAAAAGAATGAGAAAATTTCTATATAGTCATTTAAATAGCAATTTACAATGAGTTCCAAACATGAACATTTACCAAAACACCTGAATTTAAGAACCTTATGCATATGTGCATTTGGTTAAAAATTACTCTGCTTGGATTATACACTGCAGAAGCAAGTCAACACCTTGACTTGGTGATCAGAATTAATATCACCCATGAGGGACAGACAAAAAGACATCAGGGGCCTTCTGATGTGATACCCTGACAAGGACACAGCATCACCAATGAGTCTTCTGGCCAAGAATGGATAACCTGATCTAATCATAAGGAACTATCACACGAAGTTCAAACACAGAATGTTCTATTAAATAAAAGGGGGCGGGTGGCACTCCTCAAAAACATTAATGTCATAAAAGATAAAGGCTTTGGAAATGTTCCAGATTAGATGAGGCCAAGAGACATAACAAAAACGATAATACCTGACCCTAGACTGGATCCTGTACTGAAGGGGGTAAATGTTCTATAGGACATTATTTGGGTCAATTGACAAAATTAGAATACGAGTGGCATATTCGACAAAAGTATTACATCAATGTTCAATTTCCCAAAGTGAGTACTGTGAATCTGTAAGAGAACATTCCAATTCTGGGAAAATATACACTGAAATGGTTCAGGAAAAGAAAAAACAATGGCATACACACAGAAAGTGAGAGAGAAAATGATGATAAAGTCAATGGATTAAAACTCAATCTAGGTAAAGGTTACCCATTTCCCTTGAGTTGACTCTGACTTCTAATGACCCTATAGGACAGAGGAGAGCTGCCCGCATAGACCTTCCAAGGCTGTGAATCTTTACGGAAACAGATTGCCTCATCTTTCTCCCATGGAGTGGCTGGTGGGTTAGAACTGCTGACACTGTGGTTAGCAGCCAAGGGCTTATATATGTGTATTCTGCACTATTTTTATTCTTGCAAATTCTCTGTAAAAAGAAATGATTCCAAATCTGAAGTTTTTTTTTTTTTTTTTTTTAAAGTTGTGTCCTTGATTCATAAAAAAAGGTGATGAAGAGGCTGCAAGGTAGGTGATCAGGAATTGGAAAAAGGCATCTCAGGAGGAAAAAGTAATGAAGGACGAAATGGACAAAAAGGGGGCAATAACCAATAGGGCTGGGATCTGATCCTAAGTGAGGTGACAGAAGCTCAATGTTAGGGCAACCAAGACAACTAACACCCAGCCCTATCTTGTGGGGCTCACAAGAAAAAGAGAAGAGTGCAATTCAGTGTGGTAAGTCAGACAGCAAATGGCAAGTGCCTGCAGAAGCCAGGCTCACGAGGTTTTCTGGGGTGACCTGGGAGCCAATCCTGAAGCAGGAAGAGGAGTTTGGTGGTAGATGGAGGTTCAAAGGGAACAGCATGTGTAAAGGCAGAGGAAAAGAAAACAATGCAAGTGTGCCTCACTGTACCATCTGAGCATCCTGCAGCTCTTGGAGGTACCCAGCAGACAGCTAGAGGGGAGCTCTGAGCAGGGAAAGAAGTCCTACTGAATGGTTGGCACAGAAGATGTGCATGCAGGGGGTCCTTAACTCCCAGCATTCACGAGCCCCAGTTACAAGACTAGCATAGGAAGCAAGAGCCACCAAACCAAAAAACCCAAATCCATTGTCACTGAGTTGATTCCAACTCATATGACCCTACAGGACAGAGCAGAACTGCCGCCATAGGGTTTCCAAGGGTGTCAATCTTTACAGAAGCAGACTGCCTCTTTCTCTGGCCGAATGGCTCGTGGGTTCGAACCACCAGCCTTTTGGTTAACAACCCAATGCTCTAACCACAGACCTACCAGAGCTCAAGAATCACCAGGAACACAAAAATGTCTACTAATTCATGACCCCACTCAATCATCCCTCTTGCCTCAACACTAGATTCTCTCCCTACCTGTCTACCATGTCTACCAGGCAACACAAGACAGATGCAAGGTAAACCACTTTCAAAGTAAAATGAAAGTTCTGAAAAATGTGCAACAATTTATGAAGTCAAAGAAAGTGATAGTGGAGGAACTGCCTGAATCACCACAGAGCCAGTTACAAAAAGGATGCGGCAGTTAGAATGACTTGAAAACTAAAGTGTCAAGGATGCGGCAGTTAGAATGACTTGAAAACTAAAGTGTCGATTAAGAGAGGCCCTTAGCAAAATGGATACTATCTTACAATATTTTTGCAGAAATAACCTCTTTTACTATTGTGCTGCAAAAGTTAAATGTAAGAAACATCCCATCATGTATCAAATGTTAGAAAAGTTATGTACATGCATAGACAGACAC